CATTTATCTTTTTTTATTATTACCCTAGCTGCTTTTCAAGTACCCTTTCCTTTCCTTCCCTTTCCTTTCCTTTCCCTTTCCCTTTCCCTTTCCCTTTCCCTTTCCCTTTTCTCTTCATTAGTGGACAGAAAGAAGTCAATATACATTATTATAAAATTATGAGTATTGTTTTCCATAGATCTTAAGTAAACTATTAAGTCTCCATTCACTTTCCCTACTTCTGCTTCAGTCTACCCTGAGGGGTTCCTCCTGAACTGACATAATGAGTTGTCTATATACCCTATTTTTTATTTTTTTTTATTTTAAACTTATTTAATTGAAACTTAGCTCTTTCTGCCATCTAGTTGTGCTCAATAAGTTCATACTATCACTAAATCTAAGGTAATTTTATAGGATAACTTCCAGGATTCTCCTACTTTAAAACCTCTTCTTCCAAACACTGAGAAGTTTGGATTAAAATTCAGTCTGCTTGCCAACAAAGAAGCAATTATATATAAAGACTGCTAACAAGCAAAAAAAGCCCATGCAGATTTTGTGGAAGCATGTGATTTGTCATTCACAACATGGTACCAGAGAAAGGTGCATTTGTGGACTTCATTATCCTCCTCTGACCCAGGCTGTGTTGACAGAGGTCTCCCAATTAGCCTGAAGCAGAGTTAACAAGGCAGCATTCAAGGAGGCAGAGTGTTTCTGGCTGTGTGGTGCACAGGGCTGCTTACTCCTTGCCTCTAATTGGAAGAGAGCCTCCTCCCTCTCCTGGCCACCTTCACCAGCAGCTGCTGAATCCACAACACTCCCCCTGTGCCCCTGATCTAAACTCCAGCCACTCCCTGATGGCTCGTCTTGCAGATCACATTTCCCACCGACTTGGAGTCTATATCTAACACCCATGGAAAAGCAAAAGCGTCCCAGAATCCAGCTACTGTCTTTCAAAAACATACTCTTGTCACAAGCATCAGCTCCTGGCAGATACTTAACAGAACCAATCCTTTCCTTCTTGCTTCCCCCACATTTTCAGCTTTGCTGCTTCTTTCATTAACTCCTCATCACATAATCTGAGCACACAAATTTTTGCAGGGCTAAGAAGGAGCCTAATTGCATTATTTCTTCTGCTTTAAGCTAGGTCTACCTGTGTTACAAGTAAAAGGAAAGTGGGGAACTAGCAGTGAAATAAACATATTTCACAGAGTGGGTAAAGTATGTCTGAAGAGATGAAAGACATTTATTTTTTCTATGCTTCTCTATCTTTTCATGTCTTGGATTCTTTTCTGTGGAAATTTTTTTCTCTTTTCAAGTGGTTTGTGTCCTTTTTGACATGATGTCTTTTCAGCTATCTTTCCAGCTCTATTCACTTCCCAAAATAGCCGCATTATCACACAAAAGAAAGTGAAGCAAAGATATCAGGCACTGATCTAAGATGTCCAGATCAACAACAGCATTGGGGAAATCAAAGTTAGAGGCAGTATGCACAAACAGGCATCAATGGTCATATTACAGAAGTTGGAGATTTTTCCATTAGTGTTGGTTCCTGCAGCAGACATGCTTCAGGGACACCTGATATGAATTCTCATGGCTAGTTTATGGTTGCATACGCCTCTTATCCATCCTGGTGATGTTTTTGGCCTTGACCATTTTTCAGCACTTTGGTGAAGTCTTCTGCACAAATCAGTCTCCCTAAAAAGTGAAGCAGAATGAACGTGAAGTTTAAATGTTTTTAACGTTCCACTTCTAAATTATATGATGGTGATTTGAGAAGATCTGGTAATATGAGTCCAATTATTTTAATAATAAAGGGCAAATACAGGAAAATCCAGGGAATCTCAGAGGTTGTCATGACAATTTGCCTTTCTATTACAATAGTTTCACCTTAAAAATAACAAAAAGGGAAAAAGCATAGTCATTATGGACGTTTGGTGAAAGTAAACACAAGGCATTATATAGATACTTTATCTTGAGCTCTTAAAGAAATAATCAAATTTGACTTTGACCTGATTTTGAAAAAACCATCTTGTACCATTTGTAGTACCGTTGTACAAAAAGCCAGATGATCAGGTTGGTCTCTAAATGTTGTTGATATGGCATATAAAAGTTGCAGCACTGCCTACAAAACAATCTTTGGGCCAGAAAGTAGAAAAATTTAGTCAAGTAAAATGATGGGAGGGAAAACAAGGTTTTTTGATACAGATTTTGGTTGAGAAGATCCTGAGTTGCAGGTTGCCAGAGCTCAGACAGCTGTAACACAGAACAAACGCTTGGTTGTCTTCTTCCCATGCCATCACCCTTGCCATCTGACTGGTACCTGCTGGAAAGCCTCCAGGACTTCCTGGAGGCTTGCCCTGCTGCAGTGTGAATATTTTTACATAACCTAAAGCAACTTGGCAGGGTAAATACACTTGACAGAAATTTGCTCAGTGTGAATGACTTGAAGCCACAAGGCCAAAAATTTAGGGTAATTTAATGTCATTTATCATGCTGGGAAAGTGAAAGGAAGCTGAACAACAGAGGTTGCATCTTCTTGTGGAAATACTGAAGTCTCCAGTTCTGATATTTGCTAAAATGAAATATTTAAAGGGCTTGAAACAATTAGGCTGTGGCAAGAAATATTGAATATCACCAAAAGAACCATCATGAACAGTCTATTCTTTCTTTAAGTTAATTGAATTCTAGGAGTGACTTCCAAAGAGATGTTTTACTCCATAAATCTAGTATTCTTTTAAATAATTGAAAAGTGAAGTCAGTCACCTGGCACCAGAGCAGAACACAGTAGCAGTTATTTAAGAGGTTGAAACAACTCCCATTGAGTCTCTAGTACTTCTCTCTTTTGATGTTTGCAAACAAATCATTGTAAGAGCAGATCTCAGCAACTGTAGATTAAGGAGCTATTGAAATGTCACAATGGTGTCCTGAGGTCAGTTGCTTACAATTTAATGCTGATGAATAATACTGAAAGGAGATCCCTTGAAACTGAATCGAACCTTTCTTAGTCAAAAATACAGGAAAAATCTTGAAGGATGGGAATCCATGAACTTGTACCTGACTACATGTTGTTCTTGTCAGAATAACCAGCTATGCCTTAGTTAATATGATAGCAAGCTTTCAAGCATGCTGACAGTGTAATTGATTTTTATTGTTTTTTTTGTGGGGTGGTCATAGGATGAAAAGAGAGGGAAAAAAAAATCAGGAAGAAATTGAATTCAAGACTAACTGGCACAACATTTTCAGTGAAATTTGGGGAAAATAAGTAAAAATGCTATTTTGGATCACTTAAAAATAATGTATTGAAAAATAAAATCTTTTTTACTTGGAAGATACTTGAAACACTTTTACTTACAACGGTTATAGTGAAATTTATCTGAGAAAAGGGACTCCATCCCTTTGAATATTCCCTAACATTCATTCTAACACCACCACCCCCCACTCTGGTGCAACCTGAGGCCATTTCCTCATCTTATTTTTACTTGGAAGAAGAAGAAATGTGATCAGAGGGCTCAGTCAAACAGGAGCCAGACTCAAGAAGATTTCAGATCATTCATGGCAATGGCTTGGAGGCTCTGCAAAGCTTGACTTCTTTCACTGTATTGCTGCATCCTCTGACATAATCTGCCAGCCAAAAAAAATTAACCTTTAGGTCAATCTCACAGACTTGCAGAGCAGAATTGGCAGTGAAATCTGCTTGGCTGCAAGAGTTCTCACAGAGTACAGTGTTTGTTACTCTGGGTCCTTCACGGGTTATTTTTTTTATTTACATTGATGGAAAATGTACGAGTGTGACATTCTGAATTAACACATAGTGATATTTTAGTAATTTTTTAGGTTAGAACAAAGGGATTTGTGGGTGCTTTTCTTGCTGTTTTAGTGGGAGGGATAAATGAGGCCATGCACACCTTACAGCAGTACCCTGGCAGGGTGGAACCTTAAACAAGATTAAAGACACTCATAGGAGGAAGACATCAAGGAAATAGCACCATGACCAAAGAAGTTGTTTTGCAATGCAAATATAAAAATGCATCAGTTTTCAACGGGGAAAAAGAAATTTCAGATGTGACAATTACATTAACCATCTATTGTTGTTGTTAGGCTTTTAATTTGCCTTGTAATCTACAGCTATTATATTAATGAGATGAATAAAAATTGATTGTATGATGCATTAGAGAACAATCTAATTTTAACTAGCATGGGTGGGCTGTTGTTTTCTAGATGGTTTATTATTATGGCTTGGACTGGTTGAAGATTTGTGGGACATCTATTGGAAAATGCCATTCTCTAACAAAAAGGAAATTAAAATTTGGCATAAGAATAAATTATGACCACTGAGTGCTAAAGAGATAAAGACTTTCAGAAGCTATTTCAGCAGTAGAGATCAGATGATGCCTCATTAACTACCCCAGACTTCAAACAAATATGGTAACATAATCACTTTAAAATTCCCATGCTAATTAAAATTTTGCTTTCTTTTGCACTGTGTTATGTTTATTTCAGAAGTGCAGCAGCACCCCCCATTAGAACTATAGCAACTTTTAAAACAACGTGTCTTTTTCAATCGTTCATTTCTTATGAGAGACTTGGCATTTTTTGCATTCTATTGGTTTGCATAGCTTCTTCAGAGCTTATGTAAAGCAGCATTCTTCTGTGTGCTTCTTCCAGTTCCTCCAGTCAACTGCACCTCTGGAGAGATCTGCTTCTGATAGAACCAATCACAGTTCCTCCAGTCAACTGCACCTCTGGAGAGATCTGCTTCTGATAGAACCAATCACATATTTTCTATTGTTAAAAAACAATGATTAAGAAAAATCACAGATTTGCCAGTATTCAGACTGTTTTTGTGTGCCATACAACTGTGCCTGAATGATGCCACTTAACTCACTGACAAAGCATCAGATCAGAAATTTAGGTGTTCCCAAATAGCACTGAAACAGTGAACTGATAATATTTTGAAGAACATTTTTTTTTAGGAAATGCAAAATATTCATGTGTGTATATATATATATATTAATTTCTAGATGGCTATCCTAAAGAGGAAATGATTTACAGATGGAGGAAAAATTCAGTGGAGGCTGCTGATCAGAAATCTTGGCGACTCTATCAGTTTGACTTTATGGGTCTTAGAAATACTTCAGAAATTGTGAAAACCTCTGCAGGTAAGAATGATACAAATGGTAGTGTTTTTTCTGGAATTCAAATTAATTAAAAATATTTATCCTTGATTTGCTTTCATTCAAGTGCAAATTGATTTTAATATGTTCCAATGTTCATATGAGAACCTGTAAAGTTCAAACTTCAAAAATACTGACTTTATCTTAATTTTTGATAATCTCTACTCTTCTGGTGACTTCACAAATTGAGGAATAAATGTTTGCTCAATATGGTGGTTTGTTATAGACTCGAAGTTACTGTATGATTCTCATTCCTCATTTACTACGCCACTCCTGCATTAAATCTGTCTTCACCATAAGTCAAAAATTTTGAGCACAATGGTAGGTTAGTGAAATTAGACACTTTCTGTTCTTAATCATTCAGACAACAGCTTAATATTTTTCTTAGTATTTCAAAGGCACTTTCTCAGCTGATAAATGCCTTTGCTTAGTGATCTTGCCAATTGATTGCAATTAAAATCTAATGATGCCTATTCTATCTCTTCAGAAATCTTGCTGTTTCTTATAATACAGTAATATAGAGAAAGTAAATAAAAAAAAATTAAATGGAATACATTATTAGAACTGGATAAACTGTGGTAACACCGTGTCTAAACTTGATACATGACTGCAGTAAGCTCCATGATTACCATGATTTCGTAAGTCTCACAGCTTCTGGGGGTATCTGCTAGAAGCAACCTTCTGCTTAACAGGTGGTGAATTCTAGAAAAAAATCTAATTTTTTTTGTTCACGAGGTAAGCAAAGTGAAGTTATTATTTTCAAAACACTGAATAATGTTAATGATAAAAAAAAAAAATTATAAGTCTATGGAACTAATGCTGTTCAGTCCTGGCCCACTCACTAACATCAGCAATGAATTCTTAGAACTGGATAGCAATTTTTGTAATGAAAAGTCACTAAAGCTTTAGTGAATGTTTTGAGTTGGTGGTTTAGCAGAACAAAATGTTACAAAGAGCACACATGTGAAAGTTGTCTTTTGTTATGGATACAAAGCCTTTTAATTTGCAAGTTACTCAGGAATGCAAATTTCCCCAAAACTTAATCAGGTACAAAATACTAAACCGTTGAAGTATCTAAATCTGTGATTTAACCCCAGCTGGCAGCTTAACCACATGCAGCCACTCACTCACTTTCCCTGGAGGGATGGGGGAGAGAATTGGAAGAATAAAAGCAAGGAAACTCATGGGTTAAGATAAAGATGGTTTAATAGGGAAAGAAAAAGCTATTCACCCAGGCAAAGCAAAACACAAAATTAATTCACTGCTTCCCATGGGCAGGCAAGTGTTCAGCCTTCTCCAAGAAAACAGGGAGGTTGGAACTAGATGATCCTCAGGGTTCCCTTCCAACCCAAACCATTCTATGGTACCATGAAAAAAAAAAAATTACCAAGTTATTATTAATCTAATGTCAGTGTATTGATAAACAAATCTATTTAACTCTTCCAGGACAAAACCATATTTATAGAGGTCTTGTTTAAACAAGTGAATGGATAATGTGGAGCAAAGAAAAATCTATTTCCTAGGTTCTTTTTAGCATGTGCCCAGTTCTTATTAAGATGAGTGTGTTGGCACAATATTTTTTGTATAATATTTTTTGTATAATTGCTATTGATGTTTCTGCTTACCCATGTTTGTGAGTGCAAAATCCAACAGCAGTATAATTCAAGTTACTGGAACCACATGATATTTCTATTCTCCTAGAGGTATCACAGTGACAGAAAGCTGACAAATTAAAGCTTATTCAAATACTAAAAAAAATAAAAAATAAAAAAAAATAATTACAAACCCATACCAAAAAACCCTATCAGGAGATTGTGGAAGCTAACTTGGAAGAAACAATGTAAAATGTATGTGTCAGGTTGTCACCTGGAGATAGAAATATGAGTTGTGCATTTCACCAGATATCTAAGAAAGGTGTCAACAAACAAATGAGAGACGTGAAAAATAAATCCTTGAGTTTGCACATGGACCTGAGTTTTCAGAAAATAGACTATGACTATATTTTTTACTCTAGTTTAAGGTAATTTCAAAGTCCAGATTTACTGAATGTCAACAATTTTTACTATCAAGAGCAAACCAGGGCCAGGACTTGAGAAAAAGCATGTACATTGGAAAACCTTGAGTATGTCCCATGTTGTCATGTAAGGAGTCCCAAAATAGAGGGGAGGGGGCAGGACGAAACACAATATGTCTCTGACAAAATTTGAGATAATTCTGTAACTACCTGCTGTGTCTAAATAGATGTGAACAAATAGGATAAAGAGGCACCTGTACTCTGGAAGATGCCTATTTACTGAGGTAGCCAAGGAGTTTGAGAATTAGGGAACCTACAAAGCTGCTGTTTCCTACTGTTCGGACAATCTGTGACAAAGGGAGGTGGCAGCTGCTCCTTACAGGTGTTACATCTCCTTCTCAGCCATGCCACGGGGGGCTGCAGGTGGTCAAGAAAGAGATGCCAGCTTCTGACACTGGAAGATCTGTGGTACCTTTACACTCATGCTGCCTGGGAAGGGAGACTGCCCCCAGGACACCATGGGTGTAGGACACACTTTGAATTTATGCTGCTTCCCAGAGAGAGAGCAGTTCCCACCCCACGCTCTGGTGTGTCTGGGGCTCCTCTGAGCCATGTGCAAACACACAATGGCCCCTGCAGCCAGCACCCCTTTGCAGACTCAGGACAGAAAGGAAGAGCAGCATTGTTCAGTGCTGCACAGGGGATCATCCTGACTAATAAGGTGGAGTTAGGAAAAGGGAAGCAGGCTGGATACCAGCAGCAAAAGGTAGTAAATATCATCTCTTCCTCCAGGGGGAAATTATGGAAACTACTATTTTACAGAGGGCATTTCAAAGCAGACTAGGTATAGCATGAGAAAATCTACTGCAGGGACCAGTCCTGCACTAACAAGAGATAGATTCAAAACCCTAACTTCTTTTTTGCTTCTGACTTACACCTTTCTGCTTGTTTAGGACACTATTACTTCTCACTAAATTACATCTCTATAATGTGAGAGATGCTGCAGTGCTGCCTTCCTATTTCCAGCTTAGGGATCTCTTTTTAGCTTCTCTTCAACAACGTTCTGAGTAAAATGAAGTGAGGTCACACAGAAAACACAGCAACTTGCTGCTGTTCTTCATTTGCATGAAGTCCTTTCTTTGTAGTCATTTTCATGACAGAATTATTAGATTTAAGACTCAGCAGTGTTCTGCTTTTTGATTTTTTTTTTCAGTCTTTCCAAACCCTTTTCAGACATTTAAATAACCTTTATGTTAATCTATGACAATTTCAGAGGTACATGAGTAAGGAGCCAGGTGTCACAGAATGTATTTCAGAAATATAACCAATATGAGAAATGTCATCTTTTGCACTGAACCAGCAGTGGCTTAAATTATTGACACCGTGATGTACTTTGCTCTTTCTTTACAATTATCTGGCAGCCAAATAAAGTCTTCATTGCCACCTGGAAGAAGTGTACAGTTTTCTCCTGAGGATATTTTTTTAAAAAAATTATGCTAAGATACAAACACATACACACACACAAAAAAAAAAAAAAAAAAAAAAAAAAAAAAAAAAAAAAAAAGAAAAGAAAAGAAAAGAAAACAAAAAAAAAAAAACCCCAAAACCTCTTGAAAATGGTGATTGCATGAAATAAACAGCAGAAATCATGTGCTGGTAGTATGATCATGAACTTTTATCTGGAACCCTAAGAAAGTTCTCACCTCAGGAGAGAAATTAATTCAGAAATACTGAAAAATTCCCCTGTTGCCATCTGCCAAGGTACTCAGATACTGTAACAAGAGCACTTCTCTTGCTACAATGTCAAATAAGGCTAACAAGGATAATTAAAGGAGAAGGCCACCTGTGAAAAGAAAGGACAAACTGCATGCAGGGAAAAATTGCACAAATTTTAAAACTGCAAGTCAGTCAACAAAAAGTGACTAGGACAAGGGGAGAGAGAAAAATGTAATCTTTGAAATCACTCTGTTTGTGTTTGTAGTAAATTTCAGGTTTCTGAGTCCCATACATTTAAATACACTTGAAGGGAGTGGTGGGGTGGGGCATAGGAGGGGAACAAAAACCAAGACCAAGAAAAACCCACAAGAGAATCATGAAGGACTCTACAATTAAAGCTCATGGTGTGAGCTGTAGTATTGCTTGCACTTTTCTGTCTACATCTCCCGCAGAAAGTCTATCTATGCTTTTAAAACCATTTATTTTTTCACACTGTTAGAAAAATAAAAAAGCCCTGTAGCTCTTGAATCTTATTTTAATCTCAGATCTTATTTTAATTTGCTTAAAAACTAAAGTACATATTCTGTTGCAGACTACTCAGTAAATGACAAGTACAAAATTCCATTAGAAGAGTCCTCATCAAGTCAAATGTGTTCTTGCAGCACAGAGCACCAACTGTATACTGGGCTCCATCCTTTTTTTTCATCAAATGCTGAATTCATTGGGATCAAGAAGACCCTGCCTCAGCTTACTGTGTTGCACAGACTGTCTTTAACTAGATTGCATCCTGAAGCAGACAGGTGGAGACTGTTCTTATATATATATCTGCACATAAATACATCTGTATATACATGTACATATATAAATACAATGCACCATTTTAAAATAGTGTCTATTTTCACTTACATGGCATTGCAGGATCTTTGCCTCTTTCATCACTGGTATGACACTCTCCTGGTTCCAGACAGGACAGGGTTAATTTTTTGCAGTGGCCATGGCCAGGATGTGGATGTTCTTCTACACCACCCTCCTTGGGAGTGGAGGGAAAAGGACTCCAATAACTCTGTAAAATCCAGAATGTTCATACAATTTAAGATTACTTTGTGTGTGATATATAATATTATATATTACACCAAATATACACCTGGATTTGACCTGACTCTCATTCTTTGGCCACTTTCAGAGGAACAGAATAATACCACAAGTCTTTTGCCTTGGCAGAAGTCTTGGAACGATGGAATATCACAGGACTTAC